CGCTGCCCGGCCTCGCCAGCCCCGCCGCAAATGGCAGCGCTGAGGGGCAGTGCCCGGGGCCGCCGCGCTCGGCCTGCCAAACACGCTCTGTCCCGCTGCACAGCCCAGGCTGCTGTGCCAGGAAGTGCCCTGTAAACTGCCGCGTCCAGACATCCATTGTTGAGGGAGACACAAGTGGGGCAGGACCTGGTAGATGTCAGCCATTGCTAGCCCAAGCTTCATCTTGCCCTTTACGCTTCGAGCTGCTTTGAAGAACAAAGAGGTTCTTTGAGAGATCAAAAGATACTCCTTATAACCTCCCACACCCATTTTTCTGCAGGGAGCAAACACTCTTTTTCCTGCTTTACGTTGAACATCTTGAATGCATTCAAGGTCTGGTCTGGATCTGTGATCGTCTTTCCCTAGCTTCTGCCTTTGTCCGGTCTTACAGCATGAAGAACTGTAGTCTTTGGCTTTATTGCTGAACCTCATTTACCAAATCAATGGGGGAAAAAAAAAAAAGTCACAGTCTTTGCACGTTGTTACTATGGTTCTCAGTACCAGAAATAAAAATGTCTACTTAATTTTTTTTAAATTTTTTTTTATTAAGTAAAAGCTGTTCTAGTAGGAAAAAAAATAGTTTTTTAATGCTAAGAAAGTCTAGCTCGTTCATATGGTTGTAACTAAACAATCCTTTTGTCCCAAGACCTGCTGCAGAAATTAAAAATCTTCGTAATATGAAGTGATTAAAATTATATACTAAAGGTATTTTTGAATTTAAATTGTCTGCTGGCAGCAGTCATTAGGACTAACAGACAGAACTCCTTTTCCTGTCTCAAAGTTCAGTTCTGCTAGGAACTCATGTCAGTTACATTGGTGAAAGTGATGATTTTTGCATCTTTATTTTAATAGGATAGTTTAAAGGTGACACAGAAAACTGTTCTGTTTTTTTCTAGAATTCATGTTCCCTACACCATGCTTGTCTTTCTTGAGCATAAAGGAGTAGTCTATTAATGTACCTGTGACTGGTTTACAGTTTTTAAAACATTTTAGTGAAAATATATTCAGTCAAAAATAGCCCCAATCCTCTGTATTCAAAGCAGAAGGAGCAGTACCTCGCTATTACCAGTTCTAACCCTACTGAAATTCTTCAATTTGAACTGTTTTATCTTCTTGGTCCTGAATTCATTGATGTATAAAGTTGATTTAAAAAAAATTATTTGAAGCAAGAAAGGGCTACCACTGAAATTCTGGCCTTGATTTTGCTTTATTTTACATGCGTTAATGTTCTGTATTTCGTTGGTGCTCCTTGTTCCATTGGTTTTTCCATTATTATGTGTTCTGGATACTACCTAATATATTTCTAAGTGTATCTCACAGCAGATGTGAAATATTTGTGAGAGCAAAACAGTAGTTACTTGGAAGACTCTGTGGTAATGAATTTCTGTTCTTCTGGTCTGCTTTTTTAACATAAAGAGTTTGTCACCCTTATCCATATGTGGTGAAAAGAGACAATCAAGTCTGTCACTAGGTATTTTAGCAGTACCTAGGAGAAGGGTGGAGTTATTTCAGTTGAAGAATTAACCTGATCAAGAAGTTGAAATTGTGGCCTTCAGGCACGGCCATTCAAATTTTTTTCATTTCTTTGTATGCTTTTTAGTACTGTAATGAAAGAGGAATGCTACTGTCAGTATCAGTAGTTGCATCTTTGTGTACTTCTTGAGGAGAAAGCTGGGATGAGGACCAAGACCTAATTTCTAGCATTTAACATTCCATAGAATGTAAATGGATTTGTTTCTGTTGTTGGTACTTTTGGTTGCAGAGTAGGTGTAGACATTATTTTGCTTCTTGGAGGTTGGAAGTTGCAGTCTGTTGAAATGGACTGACTTGTGCAGAGGAAGTGGGACTTAGTACAGTGGGGATCGTGAAGATAAGAGCCTATGTACTCTAACAGAGTCTCACCTTCTCCACTGTCTAGCAGTTCTGTTGGAAGAAGACCTTGGAGGTTGCAAGACAAGTCCAAGATGTGCAGTTCAGTTGCTCCCAGGCTGTGGTTCTTAACAGACCGTCGCATCAGAGAAGATTACCCTCAGCAGGAGATCCTGAGAGCACTTAAGGCCAAGTGCTGTGAAGAGGAGCTGGATTTCCGGGCCTTGGTGATGGATGAAGTGGTGCTGACCATTGAGGATGGAAATCTTGGTGAGAATGAGCTAAGGCTGGGAGTGTGCTGAAAGGGTGCTTGGGAAAAGATTGTAAAATGGAGCATACTATTTAATAATGAATTCCATGTATGCCAGACTACCTACCATTCATCATCTAAATCATGTAGATGTACATCATACCATTTTTTTAGAATTTATTATGTTCATCAAATATAATTGTTCAGTTTGCTAATTTGCATTGGAACCATTTTTCTGTCCCTCTGCAAAAAAGAGAGGAGGGTTGTTTCATTCTGGTGAGTCCAGGATAAGGACTACAGGACCCCTGAATTAATAAGGAATCACAGAGTTTGATTTTTGCTTCAGTATTTGAACTTTCTGGGTCACACTTAAGAGTTTCGGAGGGACTTTTTTCTTCTGTTGTTTTCTGGCTCCAAAGTAGAAAACACCAGAAATAATCTGAAAGGAATTTTCAATGAACAGTACAAAGTGTCATGGAACTAGAGGTTATGATGTGATGTAACTAAAGCACACTGCTGTACAGATGTGGAGTTACGTGAATTCCAAAAAAGAACAGTGCTGATAAAGTATGTGCATCGAATAATTTGAGGTATTACTACAATTTACAGTGAATTAAACTAATTTACAGTATTTAAATCTAAATGATGAGATTTCTGTTCTGTTTTCCTACTAACTTTTTTTTTTTTTCCTTGTGGTGATTAAAAAGGAAACGTAAAATGTTAAGTTGCATTAGAAATGTTAAGTAAAAGGATTCTGTAGATAGTAGGCTTATCTGATAGGAAGATACTAATACCACCAATGTCAAGCTGTGTAACTCTTACAATTTTGTTCCAACATTTTTAAATTTGGATTTCCTAAAGCAAGGAGACTGCAGTGTTTTTTTATCAGTCAAAAAAATGTATTGCTGGAGACTCAGGGAAGAATTACATTTCTGAAAGTTGTATTAGGGTAATTCTGTTCAGGAAGAAAATATGAAAGTACCCTCAGCCATGAAGAAGAGGCTGCCATGTATACCTGGTAAAAACAGTATTTTTTAATCTGGTATTTCTAAACTTCTGTTTACCTATTTTGTCTTTTAATCTGAGGAGTCTTACAATTTTTATCACAGATTGAAATTCTGTAGGATGTCTTCAGATCAAGGTAACTTCTTGTCAGAAAGTCTGAGCTCTGAACGTGCTTTCCTTTGGACAGTGTGTAATGGGAACACAGCCATCCTGGACTGTAGCTGCAGTCTCTGGGATGAATAATTAGTCCTTCAGCATTTCAGTACTGTTTTTATTTCTTGGTGATTTTTTCTGTCAGAAAATTTCTTCTGACAGAAGATTTCTGTCTTCTGTCTCTTTTTGGGGAATTAAATAGGGCAAGTGTAAATTTTGGACCCTTCTGCTCTTTTCTGTCTAATGTCTCCTAGCACTATGTCTATTGCAAGGGGAAAGATAAAAGTAATACAAATTGGAAAACTAATATTGAAGAGTGTGTAGTACAAGAACAAGAAAAATTAAGAAAATTACTAGAAAAAATGCAAGAAAAGGGAAATTATTCTCATACAAAGTGTTCATTCAATATGATGTAAACCAACATCATTTGAAAAGGAGTGAGATAAAAATGCTGGAAGATTGTGGATAGAAATTTTGTTATAAGTAGTCTGGTGTGTCTAATTGTGTTGTTTTTTTTTTTTTTTCTGAGGGGTTGGAATTGTATAAAACAATTCTTTCTCTTGGAGAGCAGTGAAAAATCTTCCCTCTTAAATTTTCCAGTTGTGTTTTTTCTAGAGCTTTTGAACATGCTTTGATAAAGATTTCTGCTGGAGCACACATGCAAAAGCTTTTTATTTCATTTTCCTTTTTAAAAACCTCAGCTGGCCCAGGAAAAGGTGTCCCGGAACAAAATCCAGGAGTTAGCGCATTCTGTACCCTTTTCTGTTATCTACTGTGTGAGGGATCCAGGTTGAGTAAAATTCTCTATGACATAGAGGAGTTGATGAAGAGAATGTATCTTCAGTGGATAATAATGTGTGCTTTTGCATCCTTTTCTGTCATTATTTGTCTTGAAAGCTTGGCAATTCAAGGCTCAAACTCTGAAGGTAATATATGATATTTGAGGAAGTAATAGTTGGGTTTTTCCCCACATAGTCACACATAGGTTAGAGCTTTTTTTAGAGTGGTCCATTAAAACCAAGGCAATTTCTTAAGAAAATGGTTAGAATAATGTTAAATTTACACAGTCAAGCTGGATATTGCTGGATGCTATTTAAAACTTAAAAACCGTGGTATTTCTGTAGATGACAGACTCAGTAATCCTTCTTGTGGACTTGCTGACTGTCAGGAACATGGCTGGAGACTTCAGAGACCAAAAATTCAGCATAAGAGCTAAAAAATTATTTACTTCACAGGGGTAGAGTGGAAAAGACACTTCTAACTTTAGGAAAATTGAGCAGATCTGTGGGATACATACATGTGAAAACTGTCTCTTCCAGAAACCACATGGCTTATACCTTGCAGTAGAGCACAGTGATGCAAGTATTGCTGCCCAAGGACAGATGCATAAAGATTTTGTGAGGCTGAGATTTACAAAATTTGTGTCTGTCAGAAATGCTAACATTTGACATGGCCAAAGGGAGAGGGGGAGGAGGTGAGGTCCACTCGGTGGACTCAGCAGCAGTCACTCCTTGGGGCAGATCTCTGCTATACTGCAGGGCTGGATGGGAAGTGTGGCTGGATTCCCAAGGCAAACAAACAGTGTAAGCCCAGCAATCCTTGCTGGTTCCTTTTCTTTCACAGCCGAAACTCAGGATGACCCAAAATGCCAAGCACCCCACGCAGTCCCAGTATGACTGACCACATGATGAACCTGCATGCAGCTCAAGATGCACATTAGATACCTCAACACAGCATGAATCCAGAAGTGATTGTAAATGCAAGTTAAAAGATGTAGAATTAAAGTGTTTCTTTTTTAGTCTAGAAGGGAATTCTTAAACTGTTTTATGCTTAAACAGTTTCGGAAATAAGTTCAACAAGTAGTTTTTGAAATGAACTATGGTTTATGCCTTACTTGAATAGGTGTCTGCTTACCCAAGCCATGCACTCCTTTTTTTTTTCCACAGTGGCAGTAGTTCTGTGTAGATTTCCAAGGTAAAAGCTGAGAAAAAATAAGTGGAGAAGTAGAGCTGTGTAAATTAATTTTTTCTGCTCCTATGGTGGGCTGAACCTGCTGAGGTGGTTACTGAATCAGACACACACAACATTGTAGCACAGGCATGGGCAAGAGTGCCTGTGTGGAAAAATATGGAGGGTGATAACTGAGCTGTTTTGATTTAAACTTGTGCTGTGTAGCTGCAGCCTAAGTTTCTTAAGAGTTAAATTCTTGAGCCTAAACCAGTCTAGGACAATCTACTGCTGAAGGGAGCAGCCTGTCCCTTTCCAGCATTGCTGTTGCTGCTTGCCTTGTAAAGGACTTCATGTCTCTATTGACTTGCTTTCATGATGTACCTCAGCTAATTAAAAAAAAAAAAAAAATGTTTACCAAATTGTCTGCTGCTTTGCAGAATCTGGCATTTGTGTGAGTTGGGTTGGCCAATCCAATGGAAGACTAACTCCACCAAATAATTAACAGTTTTCTGTTGGAATAGATTGCTTTACCAAGCCTTTTTGTGGTCACACAATTCCTAGCTCTGGTACACAGGTGAGGAAGAATGGGATTGTTCTTTCAAGGAATGGCTTGTATTTATGTGATTTAGCTATACCTCCAGAAATATTCAGAACAGGAATTTTCTTGTGGTTGGGATGTCTGATAGTGTCAGCTTTAGGATTATTTTGTTTGTGCATGGCATCTGGTATTTAGTGCTGTAAGGATTACAAATTGGAATGTCTAGTTTTCTATCTAGTTTGGCAATTCCTATATTCATTTGAAATACATAGCAAGTAATGTAACAAAACTCTGCAGGACACTTTTTAAACATTTATCTGAAGTCTTAGCAGTGAGTTCTGTCAAAAGGTTTACTTTTAAACTGTATGTCTAAGTTTGCTAATGCAGCGACATAACAGGCTTGAGGAATTTGCCTCAACAACAAATTAAACAATTTAAAAATTGTATTTTAACAAATTAAAGCTTGTGAGCAGGAGTGTGTACTGTGGGATGAGGTGGAGGTGGAAGAAGCTGGTAGGAAAATCCCATCCTATAGGAGGGACTTTGTGGACAAGAGACAAAACATACCCATGGGTTGTCTCCTCATTCTGAATATTCTTTCTTCCCTATGTCTAGGATTGAGTAGTAGCTTTCCCCACAGACTGCATGCCTTACCTGTAGGGCAAAACAGTTCAATAACTATTCCTTGGTAAGAAAATGTTAGGAAAATTTGGATCTTCCCTCATTAAAATGATATATAATAATATTTTCATTAAATTTTTTTTGCTACCAGAACAGAAGAAAATAGAATTCACTGAGTCAGTAATTTACCAATACCTTTATTGTAGGTTTTTTGGAAATTCCATATTTTCTGATACTGTCCTGTGAAGGAAAATAGTTTTAAGGAAAGTTGGTTTCATGAACGTTGAATGTTGAACATTGAACTGTTGAAGCTTGAGAGACTGAAGTATAAAACAAAGTATTAACTTTTCCTAAGACTTTCTTGGCTTTTCCTTTGGGAATGTGTGGTCAGCTTAGGTGAGGAATAAAAAGGGCATAATAGTCATGTATTCTAAAACTGTAATTGTGCACAGTCAGCTGGCTTTTCTTAAGTCAGGTGGGTAGCATCCGGAAACAGATGAGGAAGTACTTAGAAGATAGATTCTTTCAATTTGGTTGGTATGCTGTTTTAGGCATCTGGGTTTCCAGTGTGGGCCTGAACTTTGCATTAGAAGGCAGTGTCTTGTTTAAGTCTCTCCTCTTGAACGATGTGATTTTGTTTCATATGATGTGTCCTTCATTTCTTATTTAATTTGAACTAGTAATGAGTAGTTGTGATCTTTGATTTTTTTTTCTCACACTGGATTAGACATAATTTGAAATAAACATCAGAAG